CCACTTTGATTGTTCAAAGTACTCCTGAAGAAGCACGGAGTGGGATACAACCAACCATGGATCATTTTTTGTGTTGGGGTGTATAGCATATGCTAATATTCCAGACTAGAAAATGGAAAAGATGGATGGCATAGGAGGCTGTTAGTTATCAATTCAAAGCTTAGAAATTGTACAATCTTATCACCTAGAGAATTGTTGTTGGTCGTGATGTTATCTTTGATTGAGAAAATTCATGATAGTGGAGTTGTAGTATTTTTTTGATCAAAAAATTACAGTTGATTTTGATGGTGAAAATGAAGAAGAAAGGCAGTAGCTCGTATATGAACAACGAGGAACAAACCAATTCCATAAGTTGTTCAGAATAGCCCAGTTGATTTGCTAATCACACCTATAGCTGAGGCACATAGTGAACAAACTCACTGTAGCAGAAAAGACCCGCATGGATGATATGTTATGAGGTAACCTGAATTGATGTATCTGATGATAAAATTTCACATTTTGCTATGTTTTGGATTCTGATCCTGTAGCTTTCCAAGATGACGTCAAAGAATCGAGAGTGGCAAAAGGTTGTGGATGATAAGATTACAGCCACTGAAAGAAACAACACACAGGAGTTGAATAATTTTCTGAAAGGGCAAAATACAATTGGTGTTAAGCGGGTTTATAAGACGAAAGTGAAGGAGGATGAAAAGGTCGATAAATATGTGGCATGATTAGTAGCTAAAGGCTATAAGCAAACAATTGACATCGATCATATTGGTGACAGCATTGGCAGCACAAAGTTCATGGCCTATATTTCAGTTTGATCTGAAATCGGCCTTCGTACATGATGAGTTAGAAGTACACGCATACATCAACCAACCTTCTAGTTATATGAGGTCTGCAATGAGCAAAAAGTGCATAAACTAAAGAAAACTTATGTGAATTAAACAAGCTCCATGAGCCGGTACAGTTGTATAGAAGCTTATTTTTGTGAGGAAGGGGTTGACAAAAATTTCCTTATGAGCATATACTATTTACAAAGATTGGAGATAGAGGGAGAATACTCGTAGCATGCTTGCACATGGATCATTTAATTTACACTATAAATGATATTGCCATGTTTTGAAAATTCAAGAGGTCAATGACGGTTGAATTTGATATGTCAGATCTTGTATTAATGCACTATTTTCTTGGCATAGAAGTTATACAATCTGATGATGGACTTTTTATGTCTCAAAGGAAATATGGGTGAGAAATTTTAGACACGTTTAAAATGAAAGATTGCAATTCCATCAACACACCAACCAAAATGGGTTTGAAGCCTATTATATTAAAGACCTGGAAGCAAAGAAAATTTACAGCCCTCTTTACAAGCCAATTGTGAGAAGCCAAATGAATTTAACTACAACAAGACCCCAACTTAATGTATTTCGTAAGTCGTATTAGATGGTATATGGAATGACGAGGGAGATCCATATTCTAGCTGCCAAAAGAATTTTTCGGTAATTGAAAGGTAATGCTTACTTTGGAATTGCTCTACAATAAAGGATAAAAAATCAAATTTGATTGGCTTTACCGACAGTAATTATGCTGGAGACACAAATGATCGGAAGAGCACTTCAAGATACGTTTTTATGTTGGGATCAGGAGCTGTTTACTTTATCAACAACTGAAACAGGACTTGTGACTGCAACATCATGTTCTTGTCAAGCTATTTGGTTAGAAAAAGATTCTTGGAGAGCTTCATTTCAAGCTATACGGACCTACTTTGCAACAAGAGTTCAGCAATAAAGCTATCAAAATATCCCGTCTTACATGGAAGAAGTAAGCATATTGATATGAAGTATCAATTCATTCGAGCTCTTACGAATGATGACACAATTGAACTTATTTACTGCAGAAGGGAAATTCAAACTGCCGATATTCTGACCAAACTGCTCAAATTGGCTGCATTTGTGTCGCTGTGAAAATTACTTGGTGTTTGAAATTTGGAGGATCCAGGTTGAGGGACGGAAATCTATTTTAAACACCGTTAAACTAAAATTCTCTGTCTTGAGTTTAAGGGAAGGATTGTCAGGACTTTATTTTTAATTATTTCTTCGAGCTATTTACATGCACGTGTAGTGCTTAGTGACCTAGTCTTTAGGGATTTTTTTACTTAGCACTCTGTCATTATTAGTAAACCTGCATCTGAACTAGTCATTAGGGTTAAGATATTTCTTCCAAATTTTATGCTTAATTATGTTGTAAAAATGGCTATAAAGTCCCCCGGTTGAATGAAACATGTACCAACAATTATGCATGTCTCTTGTGCAGCAGCATATTACGTTTATTCCTAATTGACAAATCCGCATAAGCTCAAGACAATCCAACAGAAGCAACTTAATAACCATTAATATTCTAAGCATCCCTTTCTACTAATAAAAAGAAATATATCATCTGTCATCTTAAATTTGGCCACAGTAGGTGCTAATGTAGCAGATAGCGCTGGAAAAATCACGTGTCTCATCTCTATAACGTGCAAATGTCTGATTCTGTACGTTTTTATTTATTTATTATTATTATTATTTTGCAGCGTCACACTAGAGAAGAATGTCTGAACAAATAAAAAATATTGTTCAGTTATCCACATAATATACTTGCCAGTTTGGAGTATAATTAGCAGTATAAACAAATTAACTATTAACTAAAAGTATATCTTTAATAATTATTAACTAATAGACTAATTAAATGGAGGTATTTTGGAAAAGAAGAATTCTAAAACTATTTTATGATGCACCTTCAAAATGCATCCAGAAATCTGTCTGATTATCTCAAACTAGAAATTAAATAATACCAAATTTATGCTTCATCTAATCGCCAATTTCACCCTACATATGTCCACAACCCCACCTCCTTCCCACCATGCAACTCCCAGCCCTCCAAACAATCATCTCCACCATCCATACCTCCCCTGCCATCACCTTCCCACTGCCCCATCTACAGCTTCTCATGAATCCCCAACTGTGCAATAGAGGTGTGTTGAGCGTGGGGGTACGGACTTATGGAGTGGGAAGAGGCAGGTAACGGCAGGGTGTAAAAAGAAGGACTAAATATATTGTTGGAAGGGGTAAATGGATCTTTTTTTTTTTGGATGGTGGGTATAAAAGGGTGTCGTATGTCAAAAAAGATAGAATCAGTTTGCATTTAGAAGTTCCCTTTTTCGGTGAGTACTGAGTAACCAGTTTTCTAAAACATTCAAATACGGGAAGTAATGTATTTGATATGAAATGAAGACTCTATAACCTAGTGTTAAATCGTATGAGTTTATGCATTCAGTTTAAAGTAACTGGATTTGGAGTAGAACAATGACCTAATGGGAAAGGGAAGCTCTATTACCAAATTTCTATCACAATACCTATATTTTTATGACACTACACCATGATGAAGCACGGTGTGACACGAAACAATACTTGACAAGTGTTTGAAAGGTCAAAAATTGAATTATTCTCGACACCTGGATAAATCAAGATAACTCTAATAAAAATGAACAGGAAAACCTGTATACAAGGTATGAAAACAATTTAAGGGGGGCCTAAGCTATGAAAATAATCCATCCACGTGAACTAATATAGGGTGATAAGTTAAGTGCATACATAATCTTCACTTGCGTGCAAAACTCATTAATCTCGGGTGAATAGCAATAATAGCAGTAATACGACAAAAGATCACATAAACAAATACAAAGGTATTGTCATTACGGTGGAGTTACTCAACCATATATTATAGTAAACAATCAATGAATAAGATAGGAGTCTAAGAAAGCAGCTTAAAATTTGTTTTTTTTGTTTTTCAAATTCTTTCGACACGTGTATGCATGTATGGAGCATGATTGGCCATACATGTTTTTTTTTTTAATCCCTAATTATAATCTCATTTATGTTCTTACCAAGATCAGTTAACACCATGTTCACGGGGCAAACATGCTTCTATATGTACATAGCACAAAAGTTTTAGTTGCAGCATTTAAATTCCCCCTGGATAGGATATTTAACACAAACAAATTATATTAATTTCGATTCTTATAATAGAAATGAAGAAAGACATTGTTAACATTACAGATCCCAATGAAACGAGAAGATATTCAAGTTAACTCGAACCATCTAGAACTAATGTTTACACGTTTATATTAATTTACGTACTAATGAATGCATGACTATGTAGGTGTCCTTGTACATAGTCTCATACATGCATGCCTACATCCAGTGTTTACCTGTGTCACACTGTTACACTATGGATCCTACATGTGAAAACTCTGGGGGAAGTCAAATTAAAACTAGCAAAGCAGAAATACCAAATGAAGATCCTTCATACATCTCAAAATTTTCATTTAGTATCATACCAAATTACCCATGAAATAAATAAATTAATAAATCCAAAATTTACCATCCAGTTATCCACGGAAATACACTCACGAACATATACAAAAAGTGTGTTAGGCAAATTGTTGTCAAAAGACCTCCCCGGGCAATGATGAAAATATTGATTAAGTTCAGTCGGTATCGACCAAATGACTGAAAGTATATCGGCACCACAATTTGGTAAATCAACCATATAACCTAGTTGGGCCATTGGAAGCAGCCCAATCTAAACTTGGAGAGCTCTTATATGTTGATAGCCCACTTATTGTTCCTGTTTGGGCCTTACCATTCCTTATTGGACTTGACCTAAATTCATACCTAATTCTATATATTTCCTAGGACGCTACTGTTGCTATTAGTGTGAGAATTATTTGATAGTCCATATTAGAGAGAAAACCGGCTGTGGCTTTGTGCTTCCTGCT